ATGTAACATCCCTTCTAGAATCTAGCATTTTTTATGGAAATGTTGTCAAACTGCTCTGCTAGTGTGTGGTCTTCTTAAACTTCATGGAGGTGGAGCTTGTGTGCCCTAAATGTGGTCTAGGTGAGGAATCCATTGAGCACTTGTTTTTTCAATGTCATCATTCAGTCCTTGTGTGGAAGATTTCACCACTGCGGTTAGATTTTATGTCTAATCCTCTCGGCTCCTTTAAGGAATGGTGGATGAACTTGCTGAACATAGGGGGACAGGGGCATGTTAATAAGGATTCACTGGGGTGGATTGCTTTTTGTTGTTGGGGAATATGGAAAGCGCGCAATAGTTTCCTTTTTGAAAAAGACATGTTATCTCCTTTGAGTATTGTTTCATGCGTTTCATCTCAGTATTGGGAGTTCAAGGAATCCTTTGATTCTATGGGTCATTCTCAGCTGCCTTTCCCCCAGGGCGGTGCGTCCATTCTCATCGTTTCTCCTTCTCCTGTCAAATGGTCCCTCTCGCTTATGGATATGGTCAAATGTAATGTGGATGCCTCGTTTTCTTTATCGACTAGAGTTGGTGGCGGAGGGGCGGTTTTTCGGGATTCATAGGGTCAAATTCTGAAGGCAGTGGTTTTTTCCCCTTTCATTTCGTCTAGTGCTTGTCAAGCTGAAGCTATAGCTCTTCGTAACGCTCTATTGTGGGCAATGTGTGATACCCCCGGATTTCCGGATGCAGGTTGGCCAGGCCCACGCCCGATTACCCGAGGATATCAAACCAATTAGCAATAATCGAACACAGAATATAATTAAAACAAATGAAGTAAATAAAATTTGCTGAAAAGAAACTAGAATGATAATAAAAAAACCCCAGAATAAAATTTTATTAACAAATAAACTATTCTGTTACAACTGATCCTCCACGAATACAAATCATTCTCCAAATTATACAACTCGGGAATCCATCTAGTGGACCCCTAAAATATCCCACTGTACTCAGCTGACTGGAAAAAAACCCAAAGCCTAAAACATGAAACAAAGTCCTACAGCATCGGTGGAGTGAATGACTGTATCTGCTCAGCATGATCCAGCTCTAAGACTGGAACTAACGAACACCTGTAAAAATATAAGAGTGGGTCAGGCCCACATGCAAATTCTTCTCTAACTACAATCTAAACCCGACACGCAGATACACCCTAGATAACTCAACAATAACTATCTAGTCAGTAATAGATAAATATATATCCACACTACATGACTCTCACTAGACTATGCTGAGGGTCTCAACCTGAATAGAAGGCAATATGCAATACGCACCTGAGTGGGCATGACTACCTAAGCCTAACAGGGTATACCTCAACCAACATAGCTAGCTACGCATCCTACTGCATATACGCCCCTAACCGTCGACTATGAGATTCAAGCTCATGTCATGGTACCATAACAATATATATAAAATCCGTTCACATTCATCCATAAGAAATCCAGTAAGTCGTTCGGTGTATTCAACCACACCGACTCATATAAATAAGGAGGATTTTATTTAACAACCCGTACCCTTATTCCAAAATAGGTAGGACTGAGTATTTTGAATCAGTCTATCCCCAGTATGTCACCGTCCCATACCGGTGCATACAATCCACAAAATCCATATAATTGATTGAACAGGTAAAACTGTTCACCAATTAAAATCCATAAGGTAGGAATTAGCGTTTTGAGCTAAACCATGCCTAGTATGTCACCGTCCCATACCGGTGCATACAATCCTCCGTATCCATGTAAATTACAACATATAAATAATAAGCAAGTAATTTACAATCCAAAACCAAATATCCAAATAATTACAGAATAGTTTATGCAATGCTACAACAATTATAGTTCAAAACCATAATGCAATTAATTGTAGAATAATATATAAGATTCCACAACGAACGTCCAAACCATGTAAATTACAACATACAATTAACAGTTTAGCAATTTACAATCCAAAAACCATCCCAAATAATTGCAGAAGACAATTTATAGTTTCAGTAATTTAAATCCAAGTGTTAAACCATGTATTTGCAGGAAACGGTTTAAAGGTTCAACAATTAGCATCCGAAGCATGCGTAGATCACATCTAATATATCAATGACTCTATCATGCATTAAAATTATTTGTCAATCAAATTATAGTCCAATAAAATTGCTAAATTAATTTAGCAAGTTAATTCTCTCCATCTGATAACAGCGTGCTAAGTTATATACTAGTATACTGTTTAATCTTTTAGCACAGAGCCACAATATGCTACAAGTCTAATTTTGTTAATTAAAAGACTCCATTATACATCCAAACTTTAATTTAGAATCATATTGTCGCACCTTAAATTGTCAAATTGAAATTAGGCAACTTAACTTCCTTCTAGTAGTTAACTGTGCGCAAGTTGTTAATTAACGCACTGTTAATTCCATTTATATAAAGAGGGTATTTTATGCAATCTAAGACCTTGATTACATGTTAAATTAATTATTGAAAAGCCCCTTAAAGTTTTAAAACTGTTCAAGAACCCCAAGTGCCCAAACAGTAGCCAAAAAGTCACTGTACGCTTCAAAATGAAAGAGCTTGCTCCAGAAAAATAGAGCAGGCTCCAAATTAGCATAGAGCCGGCTCTACCACCACCTTGGAGTCGGCTCTAAACAGGTGGGAGCCGGCTCTTGGCATTCCAGAGCCGGCCCTCTCTCCCCTTGTGAGCTACACCTCCGTTTCAGCTTCGTTCTGACCTCTGTTCCAACTCCGGCCAGTTGCAACCTTTATGTTTGGTTTTAAAACTAAGTTAAGAGTCTTATTAAAGCCTAAAATCATCCCCAAGATTTGTTTACAACAATTTGAAATCAAATTACAGAGATTAAACAAAGCCATTAAACCAGTATACTTGAAGAACAACTCTGAAACTAATCTAAGAAGTTTCAGTCCAATTCCAACCCTTCTGTTCCTCTTCACCATTGAACCTAAGGATCTTATCTCATCCTAGTAATGTCCCAATGGTTTTGTTTGCAGTAGTTCAAATCAATTACTAAGTCTAAAGTTACAACAGAGATTACATGCTTACAGAAAAACAACTGGAACGAGACATGTAGAAATTGTAACAGTTTTGATTTCAACACAAACAGATTATTAATATAACATATACTAAGCATGAAATTTCAGTTACTGATTGATTAAACCCTAGAGATTATCTAGGTGCACAGAACACGAGCCAAAGGGAAGGAGAAAGTAGAAGAACTTGCCTGATTTCAGTTATGAAAACCCCAGCATCGTCTCTAAGTTTCCGGCAACTACTAACTTCCTTTAAGCCTCCTATGGGTGTGATTTAAACCACCACAACCCTCCTTTGATCCTCTCTATTCTTGTCCTTGGTAGCTCTAACGATTGCCTTTGTTCTCTCAACTCCCTCTCTGTTATGTCCTATTTTCACTGTGCTGTGAATAGGGTTCTCCAAAACCCTTAGTGAAACTCATACACGTATATATATATAGGCCCTTAAAAAACCCTAATTAAACTAGAGGTAAGGCAGAAATCCTAATTAAACTAGAGTCGGCCCATAAACTTAAGTCACATACACGTTAGATACTTGTATGACGGCTCTAAGAAAACCCTAACTGAAAACATATTTAAAACCTTAGTTAACGGATTTACACATTTAACCTATTAAATTTAACAATTACCAAATAAGTCAATTTTAAAACAAACAGCTTATCAAGTTCAATGTAACAAAAATAATTAATTAAATGACAAAATTAAATGCAATTAAAACAAATAAGACACAAAATGCAAATAATCTCAAATAAATCAATTAAAGCAATTAAAAGTAAATAATAACCACAAATAAACAATTATCAAACAAAAATATACTCAAATAATTTATTAAAAATAATTGAAATTCCAATTTTATCCTTTTTAAAACTAGGGGTATTACACAATGTCTCTGTGTTACGATCGAGTTTGGTTTGAATATGACTCGCTGGTGGTGGTTCAAGCAGTTCATGGTATGGATACCGGTCCAGTGGAGATTCATTCAGTCTCTCGGTGTGCAAGTGATTTTGGAGCAGTTCTCCTATTTTTGTCTTAGTCATGTCCGTAGGCATGGCAATGGAATCGCCCATGCGCTTGTTAAGCTTTCTCGGCCTCATATTTCACGTGATATTGATCTTATTCATATTCCCGATAATATCTTGGAACTAGCAGCGAAAGATTGTTAGCTTTGTTTTTCTTGCTTTTTGTTTGCCGAAGAAAGAAAAAATAAATAAATAAATAAAATAAAATAAAATAAAATATCATACTTTCGAGAATAATTATGAGACTATGTTGTTTATTTGCGTAGTTTAAATTGTTTCTATGCATTTACATTATGAGAAGTTTATGAATAAAATAGTGATCAAGGTGCCATCGTTACTTTAATAACTTACGTCGCACAATTTCTCTCGGCACTTGTCGCTCTGCATTCTAAATGCTTTCACACTTCATACATTCTTTTATTTTTATTTTTAATTTATGTGACTTAAATTTTACGATTTTGAATTCACACTTTCTTTCATTCCGGCTATATATACAAACTAGTCACATCTACAGCAAGTCTAATTTAATAATTAGTCTTGTTTACAACAATTGATCAAGAGTTTGAAAACAGAACAGTTGCAGGTATAACTTAGACCCAACATAAAAAAAAATGTTTAATTATAATTTAAATTTAAAATTATCTTCAATCCTAAATGCTTAACCGAATTCATCTCATCTTAGAATACTTGGAGTCAAATTCATAAGTTAGGTTGGGATTTTGTATTAGAAGATAGGGTTATTCACATGACCAATAAAGTGATTTACAATAAATTTAAATTTAAATACAAAATTTAGAAATGAAAAAAGTGATCAAAATTTGAATATTATATATAAAATATATTTATAAAAAATCATAAACTGAGTATATAATATTTAAATTGGACCTAAAATTGTGTTACTAACACGTTAAGATATTTAGGGTTGAAATTTTTTCAAATCCAAGCCTAACATTAATTCCAACTAAAAAATAATGCCCAAATCCGTGAAAAATACCGCTGACGGCACTACCACCACGACGCAACCAATCGCCACCGTCTTCTTAAACCCTTGAGCGACCCATTACCCTAACACTCACACTCACACTCACACTCGGGCGGAGTTTTCTCCGATTTACCTCAATATTGTGGGCGTCTAAGGATTCACGTCCAGTACACACCTATCCAACTGCCTCCGACTTGATTCAGGTCAGAATTATTGTTCAGCGTGTTTAGCCTTTTCATTTGTTGTTGGAAAATATGAAGTTAAACTATATATATATATATATAGTTACAGGTGGTATTCTTATTTAAACATATGTATTTAATCATATTTTTTATTTGTTTGTCATTGTTTACGGAAAACCAATGGAGGGTGAGATTTTTGCTTGTTTATTTATTTATTATTATTATGTTTTGGTGAATGCGGGATACCTCCCAGACCGTGTGAAAATGTTTAATAAAAGAAAAATTAGAAGTGTAAATCATTAATATGCACATGATTTTTCGTGGACAAATGGGTAAAAGATTAATTAATATCAAGATTCGGAGCAATTGAGTGTTGGATTTCTCCATGGGTTGGATTGCTGCTGTAGGAGGGGTCAAATATAGTAAATTAGTAATTGGGAAAAGACTTATCATAACAGAGCAACCGGGTAGCAATCCGAGTTCTAAGCTGAACTCAAACCACAATGGTATATTATTTTCTGCTGGAAGTATAATTATCCTCAATTGTTTCTACTAGTGTTGATATTTGTGCACCATTACATTTGTGAATTTAGCGAGGGAAAGGAAAGGAGATCATGTTTCCTCCCATGCTTAAAAGGAGATTGGAAAACAAAATATTCTCGATATTGTTGATAATAAGGTATAAGAAAAAGGAAAAATGGCATGTAAAAGCATTTGGAGACTGGCTGAATAGCAGCTGATAATCTAATTATATAGACTCACTGTGATGACATACACTACACAGATCTTGCTATGTCAATTGTTTCCTCTCTAATGCTTCTATTATGATTCTTGGTGAATGCCTCAATTAGATTAAAGATCCTTATTATCTTCTTTCTTTCTTTTTTTCCTAATGTCCTTGCATCTTTTATCCAAACAAAGGATTTGAATTTAGCAATTTTGAATTAATTGAAAATCCTCTATTTATTTATCTATTTATTTTAAAGAAGAGAGACAGTCACACATCCCCAACACTGTCACACACACACTATCATTCTAATGTGGGCCTAAACCCTCAACGTCTCATGTGGGAGGAGGAGATGCCACTTGGGCTGCCCCTTAATGTCTAATTTAAAATCCCTTCATCGATCCTTCTCCAAAGTACATTCACCCAAAAACAGCGCAGTGTATGAAGTACTTGTTATGTATAGAGTATGGATAGTATGGGTAATAGTTTAAAAAACCTCCTTTTTAGAAGCTGGAGAAACTTTAATTCAACACACAGTCCAGATGTTGCATACCCCCCCACCCCCCCCCCCCCCCCCCGCGGACTGGGAAAAAAAAAAAAAAAAGAAGAAGAAGAGGGAGGATTATGCATTTCCTCCGACATGATGGTATAGGCCGTATGACATGCTTAATGGATTTGATTAAATGTTGCATCCTTTTTTCTTAAAAGAACAAAAGGAGAGAATCGTGGAATTTTTCCTCCAGTTTTTATCCTTTCGAAAGAAAAGTACTAAATAATTGAAGGTGGTCATGCATGATGTCTCTATATATAGTTTTGGGATAGGATCAACTTATCTCTACCCCTCAATTACCTTTGTCATGTTAATCATGCATGTCAAATATTAAGTCCATTTAATATACATGTCCAATCTATAAACCCCTATTTCTCTTAATAAAATATTGTAATAAAACTCTAATTTAGAGCGTGATATTGAAGAGGGAGTGGTAAATCTATGATTTATTTGATTTTTGGCATTCAAGAGAAGAACCTTCAATTTAACGGTTGGATTGTCAATTTTCATATTTCTTTGGGCATGTTCAAGTCTCAAATGCTCGAGCAGGGATGAGTTTACTGGAGCTACACTGATTGACTTACACAGGGAAATGTGGGAGTACAGATATATCAAGATCATTTTCATGTTTTGTCTGAAAACCTGAACTCAATTTGCTATGGCTATTGCTAAGAATGGTTTTGGACATGAAGCACTTGCGTTACATAACAGGAGGAAATATTTGGGTCTCAGAACCAGTGATGTAAAATTGGTGAGTTTTCTTTCAGCTTGCAAGATGCAGGGTTGCTTGAAAAAGGCTGTCAAATTTATGCATCCATTGGGAGAGTATTATAGAATATAAATCCCAAGACATCACTTTGTTTGCATGGTTGTGTTAGGATCGCGCACACACAATTGGCAAATATAACAGCATACACACAAACAAAATGAAATTTACGTGGTTCGGCAAATTGCCTACGTCCACAGACGAATGATGACCATCTTTATTTCAATACTTTGGTTACAAACTTTTTCCTCTCATAAACTCAACTCAATTTCTCTCTCTCTACAAATATCTCTTTCCCTTTCTCTCCTATTTTCACTTCTCCTCTTTATTTTCTCACACCAACCTCTGTATTTTCTCTCACAAGTTGGTGCCCGACTCTTTTGCCTTCTACTTCTTCTGCTTAAGAACATGCATTTATATAGTGGTAGATTTGGTGCCTTAGTCCACAGCGCATTTAGTGCGCTGTAAATGCAACTACTCCTCTGTCGCTCATTTAACGCTTGAATACGCAAAATTCACCTTCAAACATTTCACCACCACATGGTGAATTCGGCGCCGCAACTCACATTTTCAACTTTCATCAGCTTGTCCCTCTCACATGCTTTATACATGTACAAGTTACTATGCCCGTAGAAACAAACACACACCTGCACTCCTTTTTTGACTTCCACCCTTTTCTTTTCTTTTCGGATGGGCCTAGTGAATTTTAGCCAACAACATAACAGGTTGATGAGTTGATCAGCTGTAACATGTTAGGAAACTTCAAGAGGCAATACTGACAATAGACTAATTCAAAAATCCAGAGCAGTTTTATTGACAACCCTGCTTAGTGCATGTAGGATTTGTGGAGAGGTTGATATGGAAGAGAGAATCATGAATATACTTATTGATCTCGCCGCACCAGGAGGTGAGGGGATTTACATCCTAGGCCACTCTGCTAGTGTTATACTGTGTTCAACCCTGCACAGACAGCCATTGATCTGGACTGTTAAGTAATTCACTAATTTATTGATTTTTTTTTTTCTTTTTTTATGAGAGTTTAATGATATCACCTTTATCACGAGTTGCAGCCCATTGATTAATCCATGTAGCTTCATTATTCAGAACTTGAGACAGTTGAGTGCTCATTTCTTGAAGGCGATGAATACATGATTAAGTGTGAAATAATTTACTACTAATCGGACAAAAGCTGTTGAACAATAAGTATGCAATTAATTGTGTTACTTTCTTCCAAGTTTCTGATGACTTGAACAAATAGAAAAGTGCAATATTTTAGTTTATGCTACAAATTGTTTTGTTTTGCTGAAATTTGAAGCAACATATCTTTCACATTCAAAACCCGAAAGGAGATAGAATATGTACAGAAACACAAGAAGTGCCTTGATTTCATCTCAATTCCCTGAAATGTATATTGCTATGTCATGTTGGGCATATTGACAGTGTTTCAAGGAATTTTCAATCCCCAATCTTGAAAACCTCAAAAGATAATTGTGTTTTCTCAATTTCCTCCTCACAAAGCCTAAGTTTCATAACTGTTAGGGCATTTTCATGCCTTTATGCGACGATTCATTTAAACTTTAGGGCTTCTTTGGGCTTCCCCAAGAGCGATAACACCGTTGCACAAATGTGTCTGGAAGTGAGCCCTGCTTCTTCCATCTGATCTTGGGGTGCTCCATGGTCAATGTATCGATCGGGAAGTACCATTGATCTCAACTGCAGGCAAAACAGATCAGGATCCAGAGAATTTATATTTTTTTCCTGAATGGATCCAGAGAATACTATGAAAGGTGAAAGAATAAACAACTTTCATTGACAAAAATTACCTTTAGAGGTCCATCTAGAATACCATTTAAGCTTAGGAAGTGAGCCACATGTGATCCAAAACCTCCAATGGAACCTTCCTCTACAGTAATTAAGATTTCATGCTCCTTGGCCAATTTCTTGATCAGATCAGCATCAAGTGGTTTGCAGAACCTAGCATCAGCTACTGTCACATGTATGTTTTGGGATTTTAACATGCCTGCTGCTTCCATACATTGTTGAACCATTACACCATATCCCAATATAGCAACTCTATTGCCTTCTATTAGTATTCTTCCCTTTCCAATCTGTTCAGTAATCAAAGAAGAAAATTTAAAAATCTGTGTTTTGAACCATCTTTTTGGCCAGTTTGAATATTAGTTACTGCTAATGCTAACCTCAATTGGTGTTCCTTTATTATTAGGAGGAAGAACTGCTCCGATTCCATTACCCCTTGGGAACCTGAAGCAGCTTGGTCTGTCATCAATTGCTGCTGCAGTGGCAACCATGTGCATCAGCTCTGCTTCATCAGATGGAGCCATGACCACCATGTTGGGCAAGCAAGCCATGTAGGCAATATCAAATGCTCCACAATGGGTGGGGCCATCTGCACCAACCAAACCAGCTCGATCCATTGCAAAGCGGACAGGTAGTTTCTGAAGATCTACATCATGTACCACCTTCATATACATCGCAAATCATTAGTCTAGAAAGCCGAAATGAACGATTTAAAAAGGCAGAAGCAAACACTGAACCAAACCACTCCTTGCCTTCTTTATCACCTAGAGCAATTGGCTCACCTGATCATAGCCTCGTTGCAGGAATGAAGAATAGATGGTGCAGAATGGCTTGAGACCCTCTGTGGCTAAACCAGCTGCAAATGTAACAGCATGTTGCTCAGCGATACCTACATCGAAACAGCGATTTGGAAACTTTTTCTGGAAATAATTGAGGCCAGTTCCACCTCCCATTGCTGCGTGGATTGCTACAATCTTGTTATCTACCTCAGCTTCTTTTATCAGGGCTTCAGCAAAGTACTGGGTATATGAAAGTGTGGGGGACTTGGTCTTAAATTGTTGTCCTGTTTTTGGGTCAAACTTGACAACCCCTGAAAGATTGGGATAATTAAGGAATTTGTTATGGAATTGTAATAACGAAGTTGAGGTATAAAGTTTCTGTCTCACCATGCATCTTATCAGCAGCTGCTTCAGCTGGAGGATATCCCTTCCCTTTCTCTGTTACAATGTGGATTAGAACTGGTCCTGGTGCAGGCATTGCTTTTACTTTCTCGAAAATGGTGGTTAAATCTTCGATATTGTGTCCATCCACAGGACCAATATAATATAACCCAAGCTCCTCAAAGAGAGTGGAACCAGAAGCACTAATCATCCCCCTTGCATATTCATCTACTTTTGCTGCAACTTCATGTGTTTGCCCTCCAATTTGTTTTGTGATATTCTTCCAAGATACAGAACCCAAATAAAAACTCTATTTATGAAGAATCATAACAGGAAGGTAGGGGGCATGGAAGAGCTTAGATGGGCTTACTTTTGCAGCTTCGCGAAGTTTCCGGAAATTGGGGCTTGCTTGGAGCTCGGATAAAGCTCTGCTCAGGGCTCCGACAGGAGTTGCAGGGCCATCGAGAGTAGCGGTGGGCAAGGAGACTTGCTTATTGTCATTTAATACTACAATCAGGTTAGCATCAAGATACCCTGCATTGTTCATGGCCTCAAATGCTTGTCCTGCAGTGATGGCTCCATCTCCAATCACAGAAATAACATAGTTGTTCTTTCCTAAAAGATCCCTTGCAACTGCCATTCCTATCAAAAGTTTTTTTTAAAAAAAAAATAAATAAATAAATTAAGATCTCCTCTTCTGTACTTCGTGGAATACATTTGTAAGAAAAGACAAAAGTGTATAAGATCAAGGAGAGAAGATAAACACACCAAGACCAGCAGAGATGCTTGTAGAACTATGGCCTGCACCAAAAGCATCATGGACACTTTCATCCCTTTTCGGAAACCCTGCTAACCCTGATGTTTTCCTAATAGTATGCATCCTGGACCTCCTTCCTGTCAGAATTTTATGTGGATATGCCTGCAATTTTGATTGCTCTATTTAGGACCCGTGTTGATAGAGAGATTTTGTGTAGAAAATTTGAGATAGAAGAAGAAAAGGACCACTCTACACGCGCGCGCGCGCAAAATGTAAGAATGGTCCCTCACTCTCTTCATTTCCATGTTGTTGAGATAGAGAGATGTTCTCACCTGATGGCCAACATCCCATATGATTTTGTCTTCAGGGGTGCTGAAAACATGGTGCAGAGCCACAGCCAACTCCACTACTCCTAAGCTTGCACTTAGATGGCCACCAGTCTTTGATACAGAGTATACAATATCAGCTCTAAGCTCTGCTGCTAGTTGTTCAAGATCCTGAAATAACATACATACATACATACATACATACATACATATATATATATATATATATATATATATATAGACACAATCAAAATAAGCCAAAAATAGAAGGAGAAACAAAATAAGTAGAAACTATCAATTGGTTATAAAAGTGAAAACTCAACAAAAACACAATTTTTCTAGAATGATGCATACATAGGTTATTTCTTACATGTGTGGTGAGATTCTTCATGTGGACTGGGTAATTGATTGTGTCCAGTAATGGGGTGGGTGGTTTTTCCCCTGAGAAATCAATCTTCCAACTATCTCTCTCTTTCCTTATAATCATCTTCCCTTCTTCATTATCTGAGTTACTGCCTGAAGCTCTCAAGATGAACTGAAACACAAAACCAAACATGATACTCCCATATATTGATGATTTAATAAATAAATAAAAAAAGAAAGAAATGAAACCCAAATGGAAAGAGAAGAAAACTTGAAATAGAAATGAAATCTTGTATGAGCTGACCTTTTTCCTGCAGGTATGGTTTGGTCTTGGAGGTGTGAGGCATGGTGTGATATATGATTTTGGGCTAATGAAAGACCCTGAAACTGCCATGGTTGAGCAAATCTGGTGAAGAGAATTGGAGGTAGAGAAGGCTGTGCGAGTTGTTATAAGAGATTGAAAAACGGGCATTTTTTTATACTAAAGCAAGGGAGAGGAGATGGGCTTACATGACATGTAAAACCGTCATAGCCGATTTCTCGTGGGATATATCTGAATTCGAGAAAATGATTAATATTTATTCTTCATTGCTTATTTTTTATAGTCTTATCTAATTAACATGGCCCTATTTTGATACCAAAAAATAATATATATATATATATATTACATATTTCGAATTCAGATGATGGTAATTAGGTATTGTATGAGTCGAGTGTGGATCTGATCACATGACATCATGTAGTGGGAATTACATTCCCCCACTCACGCATTCTTTAATAGGGCATTCTCAAAAATTGAAGGACGACATTAATTGATAAATTATATATACATGAACTAGTCCATTGCACATACTCAAGTGGTCTTGCCGAGAACGGAATTATGAGGCGCATATTTCATAAAGATTCTGTTTGCTTTGGTTAGGCCTAATTCTAAATGTGCTCATTTTGGCCAGAAGTAAGTTAGGGGTAATGTTGGGCAACTAGTTAAGTAAATTCTTACCCAACTAATGCTGGATAAATCTGGCAAAGAGAATAATCTTCCAATGGACAAACTTCTTGGGAGTATCAAATCTATGTGTTTTAGCCTAACATAAAAAATAAAAAAAAATTTGTATTTTAGTCATAATTTTTTTTTCGAAAATTAAAAAATATATAAATAAATTATGACTAAAATACAATTTTTTCCATAATGATATAGCAATACTGCAATGTTTTCCATGTTCTTTTACAGCACTAGGAAACAAAATACACCCAACCGACTTTTAAGACCAATTAATGCCCAAAGAGCAATAACTTTTTATTTATTTATTTTATAAAAAAATGGCGGGAGAGCAATAACTATTTAGAACAGCATTTTATATCTTTAAATAAAAAAGGCCCATCTTATATTTATTTAGCATGTCCTACATAGAAAGGAAACTAGAACATGAAAATCTTCTAATATTGTTATAAAATTTTCGGTTTACAAATCATTCAAAAAAAATTAGCTTGCGCACACTCAACTCTCTGAAAAAACTTATAAAAAGAACCCACTCATCTATGGGATGGGACTAAACTTTTTATTTATTTCACAAAAAGTGGCCCCATAATTAACACACACACAACCCCTCCGCCAAAAAATAATAAAATAATGGTAATGAATAAATTATTTGCAGAATACAAAATCACGATAAGTTGAATGGGACGCGAGGAGGAAGAGGTCACACAATTTTGATGCTCTCCTTCAAGCCTTTAAAGGAAGAATCTTGGGTTTTTTTTAGTAAGCGTAGAGAGAGATTAATGGCTTAATAGTAGAATATTAATGGTAACTTAGAACTATTCATCCCTACTATATCGACACATAAGGCAAATCAGTCTACATTAACACACACTTGTGTAGTAGACTTTGCATGCAACTAAAAAAAATGAAATGTCTTGCAGTCACCACATGAACTTACCACTTCTATTTTTAAATCAATTAGTTATATTATAGTGTTCACAATATACAGGGGTGTATGATGATTCAATTCCTGGAAATGTCACTTAGAGCTTTAGATATGCATTAACACACAATGAAGGCCAAAATTTTAGCATGAACCCTATATATCATGCCATGCAAATTACAGGAGGTTACATCAGACCAGCAACATGATTTGTGTGATGATTGTTGTGGAATGTTGACTGGGGAAGATTCTAGAATATTGGAGAGCTTATAGAGTGTAGAAATTTCTAAAATATAGGGAGTTACGTTAGGTTTGTGTATATATAAGATATTTTGAAAATGAGTCTCATTCTTAACAAGTCACAGGAGAGTGAAAAGTTTTTAGCCATCCATTAGGAAGAAGGATGTATACATAGGTATTCAAATGGTTGGTGCAAGAGTGGATCAAGGAACTGTTAATGGGGTGGGCTAAAAAATTTTTGGGTGGGCTAATACTAGTAATAATTTTTTTTTATTTAATTTTTTTTGGGCTAAAATTACCTATAGTAAAAAAAAAAAAAAAAAAAAAAAATTTGGTTCCTAACACCTAGATATGCCCTTGGGTGGGTGGAACAAAGCCACCAAAAGTGCAGTAAACATATACAAATGACATGTTACAATGGGTATGATTCAATTTTATTTAATGTTAGCTATATTAGGCTACCCATTAGTCAAAGTTTTGGATATATAAGAATGCACAAATAAATTCTACATAAAGGTGAATTATATGATACACGAATAAAAGGTTCAATACCAAAAATATTGAGGAGAAACCAATATGTCAAAGTCATGCAAGAAAAACAATTACAATAAACCATCTTCCTATGATACACGTAGCTTATGCATGGACCAAGCCCTGGCCAGGAGAGCCAAAGTTTTGGATAAGAATCAACGAATAAATTCTCTATAAAGGTAAATTTTGTTATACACAGACAAAGGTTCAATAGCAAAAATGTTGTGCAGAAACCAACATGTCCACGCACAATTGTTGCACGACCTAGATATGCAAGAAAAACACCCCGCTTATACACCTCATGTTGCCATGGTGATGTGGAATTGATTGCTGAAGTCCTTATGCCTCGTTTAGACCGTTAGGAGACTAGACGAGCATGCTGACAGATTTTTTGAGTTAACTCCGAAGTGTTTGTTTTTGACCCGACAAGAAGGTTATTTTTAAACTAGAAATGGTTCAATGAGCAAGACTCACCGCTACGCCGTGACGTAACCTTTTTTTTTTTTTTTTTTTGGTAAAATACCATCATTTAAGGCCTCAAAACGGGTTATGTCGAATATTTCTGGATTTTTGTTGGTTGTCTAAACGAACTCGGATTGCATTCATTTTTTTTAATATTTATTAGTTTTCTTTTATTAGGTTTCTTTTTCTATTTTCTCATAATTTTTAAAGAAACTTTATTTTTAGGCTTATTTTCAAATTTTAGGACTTTTTTCGAGATTAGGTTTTCTTATGTTATAAGGATTCATATTGCAGTTAATTTCCTTATGAATTAGGATTTTCATTCACTATAAAAATATGTAATGCAGAGATCATAATCATTCAATTGTCAAACAGCAAACATGGTATATATATAAAAAATAGAATTTTAAGAATTTTGGTTAATTATTTTTTAAATCTACATAATTCTTTATTTTCTTTCTTTTTCCTTTTTACACTTTTTCTTCTCCTCCAAATTTCTTTGAATATCTTTAGTTGCATTCCCCCTCCCTTCTTTAATCAAAATTTTTATTTTTATTTATTTAATTTTTTTTTTTTTTTCGTTTCATGTATATGCAGGGTGAATATATGGATAATGGGATAGGTGTCACAAGTCATTAACATTTTAGTAAATATATATGAAAAATGATAGGGAACACGAAATATAAAACGCTGAAAAATTCTCGAATGTCAAATAATTAAAAGGAAAAAAAAAAAAAAAGTTTTGGTATAACAAAAAGGAAAAAAATACAAATAAAAAAAGAAAAATAGCTTTCATCCTCTTCCCTCACAAACTCATAACAAAAAAAAAAAAGTGCTGGGTTTTGGAGGTAAGGCTATTGATTTTACAATTTCAAAACCCTAGGTACCTATACTACGGATCAAGGCTCTAATTCTATGTGCAAATCTCTAGTTATGTTATTTTAATCTTGTAAATTGTATGTTATTTGTTTTATTCTCTTTTCCATTACCGAAATCCTAAATTAAAATACATAACATATTATAGATAAGAGAACCATTACCTAAGTCCTAAACGCAAAACCCAGCACTTCAGAAAAATTATAAGGTTTTAGATTATTTTCCTTGGAGCAATTTGTAACATAGCTCTCTCTCCCACGCTAATTGTGGAGACTTTTAGTTTCTCGATTTGTGAGGAAAGAGGAGCAAGCAAATTTATGTTTCTTTTTTTATTTTTTATTTTTTTTCCCTTTAAGTTATACTGCCCCATAAGGGAACTCTTTCTATTTTTTAAAGTGTATGATGTGGCTGGCCACATCAGATTCGGGGACTTTTCGTGTTTTATATTTCGCGTTCCCTATTATTGCTTAATATATATATAAATATAACATGTTACATTGCTTAAAAATATGCGTAGTAAATATATACAGAGGACATGTTACATGGTTATCGTAAGTTAAGTTTTTAACGACTTTTTGTCACATCAATAAATAATTAAAAATGTTCAAACGCACCTCAATACATGTGAATGGTAAGCCATACATATTTAAAATTAATAATAATAAATGCCTCATGAATTTTTTATGTTTAAACTCTTTATTGTTTTTTTTTTTTTTTTTTCATTTAAAGTGTCATTAACATTTTAGTAAATACTAGCAAAAATGCACGCGTGATGCACGTGCATAATCCAATGGTGGATATATTCAATTTATTGCTAGGGTTTGGGTAGGTATTAACCAATAAAAATCAAAATTCAAATACAAAGTAAAATTCTATCCTACATGGACATATTCCAAATACCTGTAATTCAAATAAAGGCTGTGATACTCAGACCGACGGATTTGGCCTATTTCTTACGCGAATCCAATGTGGCAGTCCAGCTGGCAATGAACCTAAAAAAACGACGTCTAAAGTGGATTTGTTCCGACGATGAAGAGGATGCAACTCGAGTGAACCGGTGAGAAGTGGGTTTGTTCGACGGTGAAGAGGGCGGCGAGCACTGTTTGAATGACACGCAGGCAGCGAGGAATAGGTATAAAGAACGACGAGCTCGGATCGACGTGAATGGATTCCAGTTACGGTGAGGTTTGAGATATGCCGGCAGCGCAACAAGGTGGACCGTATTGAGGACAGCAACCAGAGATATTTCGACGTCGGTGATGAACAACACCAACAAAGAAGGTTGGAACTGTCGGTGTGCTATATCCTTACAGATGACTACGGAAACCAAGATGTCTGGAGGGAGCCAAGAACACCATCGAGCAAAGAGATTTCATTTCCTATAGAATAAAGATATGAAAAAAATAAAATTTGTAGAGGGCGTCTCTCCCTCTTTTTCTTT